CGAAAGCCAAAAAAGCAGAAGCATCACCTAAAAGTAGCTCAACGCTAAATAAACAAATTACGAAAGGCTACCTAAAAACTAAAAGTAGCAAAAGGCTAGCTGAAACCCAAATGTAACCAAATATTAATCAAAAGCTAAAAGTAACAAAACACAAGCTAAAAGTAAAGCTAAACGAAGTGCCATGCTAGCTAAAAGCCAAAAGTAGTAAATGTTAACTACAATCTAAAAGCAGCATAAGAAGACAGAAATACAGCTGAACCACATTTTAACAAGATTGTTTTGTTTTTTATGTCGGGAAATACTTATTAGCAAAGTCAAATATTTTGAAAAAATTAAATCCATAACACCAGTGGTGATTTTGACTTCTTGTTGGGGGTTCTCAAGCACTCCTAAATTTTAACTCAGCATCCTTGAAAAATAAAGAAACCGACATAAGAATTTTATAAAGAAACTCAGTTCTCAAACTTTAGATTTACCAAAATATATACAGTATATATATATATATTTTTTTTTTACGAGTCTGTTCCACGACACCACCTGTCAATCAATCCAGTAGGCTCATAAGCAACTGACCAATCGGCGACCTCAATTTATCCTAAAGGTAAACGCCCCTTACCTGCCCCTCTATTCACACAAGGAGAGCTGTTGGTCAGGCTACTTCTTGTTGCGCTCTAAAATAGTTATTGAATCAAGTCTTTACATATGTATGTAAACGTAGATGTTTAACAACCCATTAAAATTCACCAGAATGCAAAAAATGGCTTCTACTTTATTCAAAGTTTTCTGAAGGAGGAGCCCTAAACAACCCCACCAGTGTGTCCCCCACCACATTATAAATGTTTCTGACGGCAATGGCCACCGCGTAGTTCAAGAGCCATTGTCAGCACTGGGGGCTAAGCACCCCTAAAGGGCAGCTTCTAGAATCGCCCCTGCATAGCACCCATCTCCTGAATGCAATGAACATTTTGATTTTTGAATGATACAATAAGAGCAAAATATGCAGAAAAATTAGAGCCCAAAAAAATAAAAAAGTTGGGGAAAATTAACAAGAAATGGTGTAAGTGCCGAGTCAGCATTCACAAAATAAAGGATTAAATAAAAGTGACTTGTGGAGAGCTTTGAGCTTTTGAAGAGCTCTGTCTGTACATATTTCTAAAACACCATGTTTGTTTCACAGGGATTCATTAGATTATTAAAGTTCTTCCCAGAACAAGTTCTCGTAAAATCCTCGGGGGAGACGAGCGGCACTGTTGTCAGAGGCGTTCTGCCACCTCCCAGTCGGAGAGCTGATCTCCGACACATGAATTAATTTGTTTCCTAAAGTCGAATGCTGTTTTTCCCCTGCACACTTGGGGGGTGGGGGGGTGACAAGATGACAGAACAGCAGTGTGTGTCTTTGTGTTGGTGTGTTGTGCTGAGAAATGCCACCATAAGACACGAAAAGACCTCCTTTGGTTTCTGTCACAACCAATCAAGTAGTTCAAGACTTAAAGAATAAGGATTAGTCTTCTGTATGTGTGAGAGTGATGGGTCTGTGTTTGTATGGGTGGGGGGGGAGTCAGGAAAGGGAGAGAGCGCCCCCTACAGTCTGTTTGTTCTCATGCAGGACATGGAACTCATCATTTCCCTTTAATGCATTTTTAACATTTCTCCTCCGTACGTTTGTCTCTGTCATTCTTGTCATTTTTTTTTCTTTTGTGCCTTTTTCCTCCTGCTCTCCCTCCTTCATCCCCCTTTTCCCTCCCTGTGAGGGGAAAAATGCACCAAGTCATCCATAATTGCACGGTGCATTTCCATTGTATCCATACAGGCTGCCCGGGGGACCCTCCGCCGGTGTTGTTATTCGCTCTCGTTCCTTGGCGTTGCTGCCCTCGGGGGTCACACGTGGACGCGCGTAAATGAACTCGTGCACAAGCGTCGCACGTTCGTATTAGTTGTGAAAAAAACGTGCTTTATCATTCTTTTTCATGTTTACAGAATATGTGTTGCCCCTGCAGCTTGGGGCCTGACTCTCCTCTGGGCAAACATGGAGGCAGGTTGCACGTCGGCTTTCAAGAAAATGCTCGTCTTTGGGGTCTAAAGACATCAGCAGGCGTGAGAGCACTTCCACAAGCTCTCGCTAACCTCCTGAGTGGCAGACGGCCAAATGGACACCCGAACATTGCAGCAGATATGAAGCACCAATGCAGATTTGCTCCAAACAATCTTCAATGTCTTTATATTTTGCTCCCATAAAAAACAGACTTTTTTGTAATTTTTCTAAAGTGGTACTTCTTACTGGTTCTTTAGTCTTTCTGGAGCTCTTTCTGTGCACTTTGGCTGCTTTTGCACTCATTGTTCAGTCATTGTACCGGATCATGACAGTGTGCATTTTAAAATGGAGACAGAGCTGAAAAGGCCTAAATAAATATAAAACCCAGTTCATACAGGAAAGACCTGAAAGTTGCACCACGTTTATGTTGATTATGTCAAATTTCCAGCTAATAGCTATTTAGGAATCACTTTGTTGGCTCTAAAACACAGTTTTTATGTATAAAATATGGGTTCTTTGTAGGGCTGCACGATATTATCGGCATGGTATTGTTATCGGCTGATATAAGCGATAAAGTTAAATATTGGACATTGGTCATTCCATCAAAATAACTCACCGATATAAAAGGCGGGGGTTTTTTATATATTTATAAAGTGTTACATCATTTTCAGCCCCCGTTTTTGGCTCCTGTATTTGGTAGCAGGCCAAATGGACAAAGATCATGCAGAATAATGTGGTATTTTAATTCCACAGCAGAGAAAGCCATGTAGTCTCTGTAAGTAGATAAGGAAAAATATCGGTATTGGTATCGGTTATCGGCCATATAACTTTTAACATATCGGCATATCGGATATCGGCCAAAAATCCAATATTGTGCATCCCTAGTTTTTTGGTATTTTAATGTTTAGATACAGAAGAGGGAATGAACTTTGTCTTTGTGACTGACCTCTGGTATCAAACTGCCTATTTTTTTAATTGATTTATTGCTACTGTAAATTGTATCGACATAACAGGTTTATCCCTTGAGTTTTGGAGCCGTTTTATGTCTGAATGCTTCATAAGTCAGAGTGTTTCATCCAAAAAAGTACCGGTGCTCTAAAAAGGAGTGAAAAGCAGTCAAAGTTAAAAAAATAAAAGACTGGAGAGCCACTCTTCATCAACACTACAAAAAATTACTAAAAAAGTCTGCCCCCTTCAAAATAAACGGCTTAAGACTTTTGCACCACACGTTACAGAACAATAAACTCAGAGGCGTGCAAGCAGAGACGGTTAATTTTCTGTGCTGTGTCTCAGTGCCACATGTGCTGTTCCTGTCAAAATAAAAGCATGGCGCTGTTAAGGAAATGCTGTTTAACCTGATCATAGGTTCATCCTGGAGAGCTGTCAATCAGGCTGTAAACATTAAAAGTATATTTTAAAAAACAAAGCAAGAAATAGACTAAAAGCACTTTGCCGAGTGAATACAAAAGAGCTGATGAAACGCGTTCCTCCAGACTTGTGATGCATCTGAAGTGCAGGCGAGGTTTTGCCTGTAAGGATATATCAGCCGAAGAACTTGCCCATTTTCTATTAATAAGGCTTCTATTAAATTTAAGTAATGTAGCATGAAGAATTTATCAGTCCGGGTCTGGTGGGAGACAACGGTGCAGTGAAGCTTTCTGAAAGTTATATGAACGTGTTCAGTTGCACTTCTGTGTTTATCAGGGCCAAGGCAAACATGTCGGAGGCATCCTGGCCTTTAGCTTTCACTTTAGCTGTTCGCACCTTTCCTTCTTTTCAGCACACATGAACGCGTGGACGAGGAACAGAACCGACGCCGGTTGTAGAAAAATGAGGTTTCTTCTTGTCACCGTTTGATTATGAGATTCAATAAGCCCCCTGGAGTGGCTGAAATATGCCATTAGGTTTGTTAATGTTCTGGTAAATGGAGTACTGTTCAGCTTCAGCAGCAATTTAACACCCACTTTACTGCACCTTCTGATGTGATGCTGCTGACTCCCCTCAGGATAAATATTAAAATATTACATTTACCCAGTTGCATCTTTGCCTATATGAGTTTACGACTCACTCCCTGTGGTACGGTTATGATGCAAGGTGCCTTTCTTTCTTTAATGGTCCGAACGATGAGTCAGCACTCACTCATGTTTGTTTATTTTATTGTGGGGAGGGGGGGCACATTCCTTCTGCTACTTCTATTTTAGCCATTCATTTATCAATTATTATTATTCAGGGTTTGGGTGCCCTGGCAGCTGAAATATTTATTTTACTTTTAATTTTTGTTCGGCTACTTTGAGCTGTTAGCTACATTTCTGCAAGCCTTTTAATGCTTTTAGCTACTATCTAGACATTTGCTATTCTTATGTTTTTGCTGAAATTTTACTCATAATGACTTAGCTTTTAGCTTCTGTTTTGCTGCTTTTAGTTTTAGGTTAATGTTTTGCTAATTTTGGCTTTAACTAACCTTTTAGTTTTTTTGTCATTTTTATGGACCTTTGGCTACTTTTAGCTTCTAGCAAGCCTTTTGCTGCTTTTAGTTTTTAATTAGCGTTTTAATACTTTTAGCTTTTAGTTAACTAACCTTTTTGTTTTTAAACATTTTTATGGACCTTTGGCTACTTTTAGCTTCTAGCTAGCCTTTTGCTGCTTTTAGTTTTTAATTAGCGTTTTACTACTTTTAGCTTTTAGTTAACTAACCTTTTTGTTTTTTAGTCATTTTTATGGACCTTTGGCTACTTTTAGCTTCTAGCTAGCCTTTTGCTGCTTTTAGTTTTTAGTTAGCGTTTTAATACTTTTAGCTTCTAGCTAGCCTTTTGATGCTTTTAGATATCCATACTGCTTTTTTAAGCTTTTGAGAGGGAGTGGTGGTGCAGAGGTTAGAGAAGGTGGGCCTGTGATAGAAAGGTCGCCGGTTCAACTCTCCAGACCAACAACATCATAATGTGGGTGCGATAGATGAAACCTGCCTCCACCCTCATTTGCCCCACTTTGTGCCCTTGAGCAAGGCCCTGATCCCCCACCATCTGCTCCCCCGGGTGTCGTAGACAGCAGCTCTCTGCTCCACACAGAGGGCTGTGGTAGCTCGGTGGTCAGTGGTTGCGGCAGGAAGGACATCCGGCATTAAAAAAACAAATGAACAAATAAATTCCCAAGTCTTCGTGAGAGTTACACTGTGGAAGACGGAAGCAGCCAAAAGAAGAAAAGAAAGAAAAGCTTTTAGCATTTTGCTAATTTTGGCTTTTAGATATTGTTTTGTTTCTTTCGGTGTTGAGCCAGTGTGTGGCACCTTTTTATTATTTGATAGTGTTTAGTACTTTAAGCTTTAAAAAAAACTTTTGTAGCTAAATTCAGCCATCATTCACACAGAAAATCATTTTCTCTTGTTCTTTTTGTGCCTTGCAGTATTTTCTAAGCACATGCAGGTGCTGTATCTGTGTGCACCTCTGCCGTACAGTATGTGTGTAATTTTTACATTTTCGTCCCATCTTTCCCAGACGTTGGGGGTTTCTTTGAGGCTGGAACAATGGTCAAATACAACTTCATGCCTGAACCACTTCCAGGGGCCAGTAAGGACACGAAAGTCTTGACGCAACAGCTGATGCCCAACGAGGTGAATCTGACCAAGGAGGAAGTGGCGTTCAGCTTTAGCACATCCAGTGCTCCGGCCATTCTCATGTATGTGAGCTCCAAGACCCAGGACTACCTGGCTGTGGTGTTAGGACACAAAGGTAGGAGCCACAGATGCAGGATCTCCCTTACCGTACTTGCCACCGTACACGTCGCACCACTGTATAAGTCGCATCAATCCAAATATGTCTAATAAAGTGGAAAAAACATAAATACATAGTTTTGCCGTATAAGTATTATTCTGCCGGGGCGGGGAAATGCAGCTGGTTTGACATTTGCTCCAGGAGTTCCAGAGTGAGACGAAGGTGGCTTGGTATGGCAAGCCACCTGTCTCACTAATAGCCACTTTTACTTATTAATGAGACTCTTGGCTTGCCATATTTGTCTAGAGCCCTCTAGTGGCTGAAAATGGTAGTGTTCAATAAGTTCCATGTCAGAATGAATGAAATCATCAAATCTCTGACAAAATTTGGTTTATAAATATGGTCAAAAACAAACACATTGCTTCACTGTATAAGTCAAAGGCGTGCTAATTTATGCAAAAAGATGTGATTTATACAGCAAAACATTACGGTAGTAAAGTGCGAACGAGCCTTTTATCACTTCCCGAGCAGCTGACACGATGACAGAAACAAAGCAGTAAAAATGGACCGTTCCGTCGAGCCTTTTCACGATCGATGCTCACAGTAAAACACTGCAACACAAAATCAAACAGCCAGCTTCACTCATGGCCTTAAATACAGTCCACTTCCTGTGTCTCTGCAGGTTCCCTGCAGGTTCGATACAACCTGGGTGGTCTGAAGGAGCCGTTTGCTATAGATGTGGACCAACGGGACCTGGCTAACGGCCAGCCACACAGCATTAACATGTCCCGTCACAACAGGAGCGTCACCGTCCAGGTACAACGCATCTGAACTCTGCTGCACAAACTTTAAGCTTTCTGTCAGATTCAGAGCAAGGAGCGTCCGTTTCAGCCCCTACCTGTACAAGGCCTGCCGTACAGGCTGAAAACACCAACACACACTCTGCGCACTATCTCACACACCCAGCCACTCTTAAATTGATTGTTCAGTACATGAGAGTGTCCTGTTCTCTCCTCAACTTGTCCTTCTCCACTTTTAATCTACTTCCAGTGAACAACCTAAGTATAGTAGCAGAGAACGCATCGATCTGTGTGTTTACAGGAGAGCTGCTGTGCGACTGTAACTGCTTCAGTGCTGCTTTATGCACTGATTGAGTGTGTGTGTGTGTGAGTGTGTGTGTCTGTGTGTTTGAGTTGTGTTTGCTCAGCTTATTGGAGATGAAGCTGAAAGCTGTCAGCCGTCGTTTCCATCCATCTTCAACAACAACCGGTGTGTTGAGGTCAAAACTCCTAGTCAGGCGTTCAAAATGTACTTTATCGTTTATTGTTTGGGGTTTTTGTTGTTGTTTTGTTGCATGTAATTTGTGTATTTGCCTTGTTGTGTCATCTAAACTCTCCCTTTTCCAATCAAGAGCTCTTGCATTGATAGGTCTTATTTGTTTGAAGATCAAAGACTCATTAAAAAAGCTGAAACGGCATAATCTGTTGCTTTTTTAGCCATTTATATATAAAAAAAATCAGCTCATACAGGAGATGTGACTTTTGTTTTTCTTATTTTTTGCACTTTTCAAAGTATTTACCTTCATTTCCTGATATTTTCAGTATAAAAATCCATCTAGATCTCCAATTCCTTCAAAATAATTCTCTTTGAAATCAAACTTGTTTTGTCTTTTTCTGCTACTATTAACTTTTAGCTACTATTCTAATTATGGTAGTTTTTAGCTCATTTTGCCACAATTTTGCTATTTTTAATCACCTTTTGTTACTTTTAGCTTCTATTTTGCTGCTTTTAGTACTTTGCACCTTTTGCAACTTTTATCTTGTGTTGCTACATGTAGCTAGCATTTTGCTATTTTTAGCTTTTAACTAGCCATTTGCCACGTTTAGCTTTTAATTAGCATGTTTCTATTTAAACCTTTAGCTTTTGTGAAGATCAGTGCAGTACTCTTCAGATTCTGGTTTATTTTTGTGCATTTTGAATTTGATGTTGTTTCATTTGTAACATTTTTATTTGAGGTTTTGTGGTGGAGACGTGAAATTTGAACTTTGAACTTTTCAAAAGTTGCAGCGGGGGGTTGCTGGTGGCCCACTTTCCCCTTCTGGGTTCTTGTTCAGTCAGGTCTTTATGACATGTTGTGTTTTTGTGGAGGTTTTAACAGAAAACCTGATCAGGACGAGTCATTTCGTTAGTGGTTGATTTTATTGTAGATGCATAAAGTTTCATTTTGTTCCTCGTGTGCTCCCCTCTAGTGCTTTCCTGAGGTCTTGTAAAAGCTGTTGAGTCTGAGGAATGATCATGATTAATGTTTCTTGAGGGGGACAAAACCTGGCTTAGTTTGGCTTTACTTATGGAAAGGGAGAAATTGTCATCCCACTCTTCTGGTCTCGTTGTTTTTATTGGAACCTCTGACTTCAGGGAGCTTTCTGAGAATTTGTCAGGATGGAGGTTCCTGCATTTTTTATTTATTTTTTTTTATCCTGCAAAAGGACAAATTACTCATCATGTTTGAAGGATGTTTAAAATCATTCATTTACAGTAAAATATGTGTTTAAGAGGGTGTGAATGACACCATTTAATGGAAAACATGCAAGCACGGGGCTTTGAAGTTAATGGCTCATTTTACCATAGTGTGAAAAAAAGTTGGTTTATATAATTTTAAAACACAATTATGATTTTTATAAGCATGATTTCAGTTGTCAGAATGTTTTTCTTCATCTTAAAAGGATTAATTAATCATGCAAACATGTAATCCTTGCATTCCTCGGTCCTCTGATCTCCGTGTATCCCTACATGTGCACACTTTCCCAGAATTTCATCACCTACTCATGAAGTGCAATAAAAAGTTCAGATAAAAATAAACCAACAAGTCAGCTAAAATGACCAGACCCCTCAAAATAACACAAATATTACTGCATTTTATTAGCATCTTAAATCAATTTGGATTACGAATCACTAAAATATACAAGTAGTTAAGAAGTTGACCTGCGTTATAACTATTAGACCTCACAGTACTCTGAAACATTAAAGAGGAGACGAGCAGAGGGGGCAAAGACCAGAAAGCATCGGTGAAAGATTTAAGGGGGAAAGGATCAAGTTTAGAGATACGGCATTAACAGAAGAGCTGCAAGGTGTATAAAAAGTTAACTCTGAGTAGAACTTTTGATATAATTTCTGTATCTGCCTCGTGGGGCTTTTCAAGGTGTAGACATGTGAGTAATATCCTGATGTAAACAGACCCCAGCAGGCATCCATAACGCAGAGAGATGCTGTTTGATGAGCTCCACGCTGACTCCAGCGCTCAGAGATCAGATCGACATGACGGACATGAAGCCTGACTGGACAACCCTGTGAGCCAGTTATTCTAAAACACACTCCATAGAAACACCTGAGCGTAAAAAAGTATTTTAATATGCAGTTTGCTGCAGGTAAGAATGCTTTAGTGTTCATTTTCCAGAGGCAGAAGAAGAGGTCTTGATAGCAAAATGTAAAAAAAGCCTGCAACGTGCCTGGACCTGCACTTTTACACTGTAACACCAGTTAGATTGAAACTACACATGAGTTAACATTTATACTGAACAAAACTATAAACGCAACTGTTTTGTTTTCGCTCCATTTCTCACGAGCTGAACTCAAAGATCTGAGACTTCTTCTGTGAAGACCTTTTTCTATCAAATGTTCGCAGTTTTGTGTAAACGTGTTAGTGAGCACGAGATAATCCACCCACCTCATATCAAGATGACGATTAGACAGCTTGATTATGTGTGCCTGGGGATGACCACAATAAAAGGCCACTCTAAATGTGCAGTTTTATCTCAGCACAATGCCACAGATGTTACAAGTTTTGATGGGGAGTGTATTGACATGCTGCAGGAAGTCCACCAGTCGCTCATTGAATATTCGTTTCTCTATCATGAGCCGTCGCCAAAAGGCCTTTCAGCGTTTTTGTCAGTATCCAACCGGTCTCACAACTGCAGAGCATGTGTAACCACACCAGCCCAGGACCTCCACATCCAGCATAGTCACCGCAAAGATCGTCTGAGCCCATCCAGCTGGGCAGCTGCTGCAGCAGTCGGTTTGCAGAACCAAAGAAGTTCTGCACGAACTGGCAGAAACGTCTCGGTGAAGCTCATCTGCTGCTCGTTGACCTCATCTCCACCTGACTGCAGTTTGTCGTCGTAACCGACTTGTGTGGAGAAATTCTCCCAGTCAGTGACGTATGGCACGTTGGAGAGGATTCATCCCATATGTCCACCATGCAGGGCAGACAGACTGCATGTTTGGTGTCGTGTGGATGAATGAACGAGATCCTGAGGCCCACAGTTGATCCATCCACGACCATCACCTCAGGTTGCAGCATCATGTTGCAAGGATCTGTTCACAATCCCTGGAGCTGAAAACACCCCAGTTCTTGCATGGCCAGCATAATCCCCGGACATGTTTGGGCTGCTCTGGACTGGTGTGTACGACAGCACGTTCCAGTTCCCGACAACATCCAGAAACTTTGCGCAGCCACTGAGGAGTGGACCAACATCCAACAACCAGATCAACTCTGATGACGATGTGTTGCACTGCATGAGACCAACGGTGGTCACATCAGATACTGACTGGTTTTATGCACTGGCCTTTTATTGTGGTCAGCCTCAGACTCACCTGTGATCAGCATCTTGATCTGCCACACCTGTGAGGTGGATGGATTATCGTGTGAAAGCAGAAGTGCTCACTATACACAAATTTATGAACAATGTTTGAGAGAAGAAGTCCTCATGTGTCCACACAAGAAGTCTTTGATCTCATGAACAATGGAGCAAAAACAAAAGTGTTGCGTTTAAAATTTTCTTCAGTGTAAATGAGCAACAAAATCTAGAGGCATGCATTTGAACAACATCCCTATAAAAATCTAAAATAAAGTAAAAAAATATGAAGATTTGCTCATTTTGAATCCTGACGTGTGCTTTTTATATTAAATAGAATGAACTTGAACAGGTTTGTTGAAGAATCTCACTTCCTGAGTAGAAGAAATAAATCCCAGGCTGCAGCAGTCAACAGGAATATCTTCAAAACTGCTACTCCTCGTTCATGGTCACCGTACTTTTGTTGCCTTCTGTTGTTTTTAATCGTTTTTATGTCTCCTGTGTGTTTTATGTGATCCACGTGAGAAAGGTAATTTAGCTGTACATGCTGCTGTGACAGTGAAGGCAGAGAAACATTCAGACAGGTAAATGTTGCAGGTAGAGACAAGAAGGGGGGCCAGGAAGTGAAAAAGTATTTAATGTTCCTGCAGCCCGTCTTCAAGCTTTTATTAGGTGCGTGTCAACTCGAATACCAGCTGAAGTGAGCACACGTTCAGGCAGAGAGCACCAACCGAAGCAAATGTTCGGGTTCTCCGAGCGGTCCGCGAGGTCTCGTTAGGCCAGCTCACTATCAAAGGCCCACCGAGCCCTGAAGAAATGAGTTCCATCTCAGCATCTCTGGGATGAAAGTGAAGACTCCCTTCAGGCAGCAGACTTCTCATCTGTGAACCCCCTCCCCTTCGTTCTCACACCAGTGACATCACATCAGCTTTAACCGTGACAACCGTTCATTTTTGCAGTCTAACCCCTTTTTATTTCGTTCTGTTTTAGCTGTTCTTATATTAAAATGTTCAGCTCATTCCTTGGATGGGTGCTATGATGTCACATTTATCTTGGGATATGTGTCAACTAAGAAAAAGCTTTGTCTATCGCTGACTGAATTACGGTGAAATAGATCCCTCCCTTTAATAACGTCCTTATTGTCTAATTGCTTCGTTGATATTAGCTTTATGCAACATGAGAGGCCTTAAAGGAGAGGAGTGTTTCTTAAACGATGCTGTGAGAAGGATCCCAGTAATTAAGGCTGTAATTGACAGAGCTCAGTAAAACCTCGTTTCTCCTGCTCGTCTTCCTCGGCAGACCTTGATGGGAGGTTTCGAGATTCGAGCCAGCCCTCCGCGGCTGCGCAGCCAATTTGTTTTCCCAGATAAAAGTAAATAAGCCGAGCGCAGTTTAATTGTGCCCCATTATCCCACCCTGCAGCCACGGAGGAAGACAAAACCCAGACTGGCTTCCGGCAGGAGTCAGATGTGTTGCAGGAAAAAGGTTGTGGCTGCAAAGAATCTTCTGCACGGATTCAACCTGTAAACAACGACGACGTGCTCACGTGTGTCCCGGACCTTTGGTGAGGATCCAGCTCCGCTCGCAGCGTCTCCGAACAAATTTCCAGCTAAAGCTCTGAAGCCATTGTTTCCAACCTGCCTGGCTCTGCTTCACTTTTTCTGCAGCCGGCGTCTCCTCTGGGTCCAGAGCTGGGGGAGAGGGGAGCAAGATGATCTTTTATTTCTGCAACGTGCAGAAACCAATTTGTGGGGTTGAAATTATTCCCGTCAACAGCTGCAGCCTTCAAGCTAATTAGAACCTTCATTGGTACAGCAATAACAAGTTAATTATGTTGCAGGGATATTAAAGTCGTGTATTCCCTCTCTTCGTCACTTTCTACACTCTGAGACTCCGCTGCTTCGTTCCAACGCAGAAACACAAACTCTATTATCTGCGATGGTTTTCTCGTTGCAGAACATTCCAGTTTCTGTTCAGCTGTTGCTGGAAAGTTTCTGTTGACATCAATACGTTTGTTTCATGTGCGCACGTCGCTGCAGCTCGTTGAGGAAGGACGTCTCGGTGATGGAGCACCTCGTTTTAAAAAGTGGTTCAGACAAAAGCAAATCACAGCGAGAGAAAATGCATTTTCTGCGAACAACGACGTGTGAACGCTCATTGCTCAAGAAGTTGCTGAAGACAGCTGAAATTAAAAAAAAACATGCTGAAGTGTAGCTGAAACGAAAGAACGAGCCTAAGTTAGCAGAAGAAAGCAGAAAAAACACACATTTGCTGAATTAGGGTTGAATAAGGGAACACAAAATTGAGGAAATTAACTTTAAAAAAGGCAGAAATAAGCAAAACAATAGCTGAAAAGTAACTGAAAAGGCAGAAAGAAGCTTAAACTACCAGAAGGAAGTGAAAAGAGCTGAAATGAGGTTTTAAAAAAAAAGGTACAATTGGCTGAAAAAGATAAATTTAGCACAAAATGGCTAAAAAGTAGCTGAAATAGCAGAAAAAGCTGAAAATAGCAGCGAAAAGCTGAAAGGAGCACAACAAGCTAAAATTAGCAGAAAGTTAATTAGGCTGAAAGTAGCAGAAATTACTACAAATCACTTGAATTGATCAGGAAACAGCTGAAATTAGCTATAAATGCTACAAAAAAAGTAGCTGAAAATGTAGAACAAACTTAAATTAGCAGAAGAAAGCAGAAAGAACACGTTTGACGAGTTAGGCTGAAAGAAGCTGAAATGAGCACAAAATTATCTGAAAAAGCTGAAATTAGCACACACAAAAAATACAGCTGAATAGTAGCTAAAAAGGCAGATAGAAGCTTAAACTACCAGAAATGGAGAGAGCGCATTTTTGCTGAATTAGACTGAAAAAAGTTTAATGAGTGCAAAAAAATGTGGAATTAGCTGAAAAGGTAAAACTGGCATAAAAGCATATAAGTAGTAGCTGAAATAACTGAAAATAGTAGAAATAAACTGAAATGAGCATAACAAGCTGAAATAAGCAAAAAATAAGTTAATTAGGCTGAAATTAGCAGAGATTAACATGAAAAACTTGAATTTATCTGAACAGCTAAATTAAGCTAAAAAGTTAACTGAAAAGGTAGAACAAGCTTAAATTAGCAAAGGAAAGCAGAAAGAACACATTTGCCCAATTAGGTTAAAAGAAGCTAAAATGAGAAAAAGCAAAAATAATCTGTAAAAAGCTGAAATGTGCAACAACAACAACAAAAAAACAGCTTAAAAGAAGCTTAAATTATAAGAAGGAAGTGGAGAGCAATTTTTTACTGAATTAGACTGAAAAAAGTATAAATGAGTGCAAAAAATGTGTAATTAGCTAAAAAGGCTAAAATTTGCATAAAAGCAGATAAATAGTAGCTGAAATAACAGAAAAAGCTGAAACTTGTATAAAAATAAGCTAAAAGGAGCATAACAAGATGAAAATAGCAGAAAGAAGTTAGAAGAAGCACAAAAATGTTGTAGTAGCATAAATAATCTGAAAGGAGCACAAAACAGCTGAAAAAAACAGCTAAAATTACCTGAAAACAGTTTAAATTTGCAGCAGGGAGCTGAAAGAAGCTGAAGCAGAACAAAATGTGAAAGGAGCAGTAAAAGATTGTAAACAGCTCTAAAGATATGAAAAATGTAAAATGAGCTCAATTAATTTTCTTTGAGGAAAAAAGTGGCTGAAAAGTCTAAATATTTCAAAAAGCTAAAGTTGCACCAATACCAAAAGTCAAAGCACCCCTCTCCTGAAAGAGCCGAACGTTTTGACATAATTTACTGAAATAGCACAAAAATTGTGGAACAAGAAAGATGCAGAAAAATGCATGGATGACAAATGGATCAGTAGTGTGAATCCTTCACAGAATAAAAACATTTAACTAAAGTTAAAGCAGCCAAACTTACATGTTTTTACTCTCAGCTTGTAACTTCAAACATAAAGATTGTTCAACTTATTACACTTACTGCAGACTTGCACGTCCAAGTCTTCAACAAAAGCCTCGTGTGGTCTGTTTGCACTCAGAGCATGTGTTGGGAATGAGTCTCAGCTACTACCACACCAATTTATAGCTCAATGTAAAACTGACAGAGGTGTAGCCCTTTCTGTGTTTGCTAAGATTCGCTCTGACAGCCTTCTATAAAATGCATGAAGGTTGTTAAGTATAATGTTGCAGCATTTTCTGTTGGTGTCTAATATTACCACAGATGTCAGGGCACGTGCATCAAATTACATTTTCTGCACGTTTTGTAAAAAAAACCAAGAGTTTGTTGGGAGGAAACATGGCTCTGAACGTATAGAAATCTGTAATCACGTGCTCTAAAGCCATCAGAGCATCTGTGAGATGTTTTGGAGCTACGCCGTTTTTTTTAAAACCCTGAATGTGTTTTTAAAGACGAGGACGTCGGTCTTCCCTGCAGCAAGATTTTAGAGCCTTTCTGAATCAAAGCCAAGGTAATTAGAGGCTGCTTGTGCTTGTGGGCTCAGCGTCTTGCCTAACTCATGTACTTTATGTTTTTGTGTTTGTTTTTCCTTGGATTACTTCCCCGTGTCAGATCGAGGAGCTTCCATCCTTCTGGTGGCTTCTGCTTTGCTCATTAGAACCTGTCGGTCTGTCTCCACCTCAAATTAGATTTATCAGTATCACCAACGTTTTGGCACGGAGATGCAAAGATTTGAAAATTTCCAGTCCAGTAGTTCATATTTTACTCACAGGCAAACAGGCATACACAAACATGTACAAAAACACTACCTTTAGTCTTTAGGCTGCAGGAAATAAAAATGTTAAATCATGTATTTTATGCTGCCTTGAGGAGATGTCGTGGCCTTTCTCAACCACAAGAGGGCGCCAGTGAGCTGTTTTCAACTTGACTCACTCATCTCATGCACTCTGTTTAATCTCTTGGTTTCTGTGCTTTAAAAAGGGATGTACTTTTAGTTTTTTAGCCTTGTTGCAATGCAGATCATCCTCCAAACATCTCCCTGTCTGGTTCCAGTTGGATCACTACCCTGCAGTGAGCTACAGCCTCCCAGACGCCTCAGACACACAGTTCAACCTGGTCAAGACGCTGTTCTTGGGAAAAGTTTTTGGTGAGTGTGGCACCACTTTATGAGACGACTCTTTTTTTTAACCTATATTCAGAGCCATCCTTCCTTACTTGCAGATTTTTTTAAATGAAGTGAACTTTCTTTTTATTATTTGAATTATGCGCTTCTGATTGTTTGACTTGTTTCTATTTTAATCCTTTCATACAAATAACAAACTGCCCTTCTAATTTTTTCAGCATTTAGGATATATGATAGTCAATAGTAATAATGATCAACAAAGCATTGATTAAAACACAAAAAGAAAGAAGAACTACTCAAACACCAACGCTTGACTGTTAAACTGAGGCTGCGCTTCACAGTTTGTCCACTAGAGGGCGCCAGAGGAACATCTGTCTCAAGACAGTGGGTGATAAATTTAACTTTTTAGGATACTCGTTTATTTTAGATACTTAACTAAATGTTTCTGTTTTTGATCCAGGTTATGTTTGTACGATAACCCGCTAAATAAATTTATATTTTTCCTTTTTAGCTGCTTTTTTTGTTTGTTTGTTTGTTTGTTTATACAGTAAGTGTTCATCTTCATTCCTCTTAGAAATCTGTTACAGCTGAACAAAATGTGGTTAACATCAATACAAAGCAGGAAAACCAGAATAAAAATAAAGTGGGAAGTTTTAGCTTTGTGGCAAGCAGTGTTAGCATACTTTATGTTTAATAATGAGAGATAAGGTTACGAAAAATCAGATCATTTTTATTTCTGTTTGAACCAGAAACACAAGAGGCTGTCAGCTGTCAGGTTCTTTATTTCTAGAAGAAAGAGAGGCTGTGCTTGGTACCACACACACACACACACACACACACACTTTGATCACAGCGACATCTCCTCCGTCCTCTCACGGTCGGGTTGTGAAGCAGAATCAGATGTTTTGGTCGAACAATGGAACATAAAAAAATTAAAAGTTGTGCTGTTCTTCCTGCACTCACACTGAAATCAATTTAAAGCGTTCATCTCGACTGTGGCCTCAAAGACGTTTGTCAGCTGTACGTGGTTAAAGTATTTGTTAGATTACTACAATCATTACATGTTATGGAGCAACATTTATAGATCAAAGTTAAAAAGTATTAATAAAATGGTATAAAAAGTTCATTTGTGAAGGTTTTTTTGGGGTCAGACGTGGAGAAGTTTGGAAACCACTGATGTGGGTCGTACTGCTAATCCCTCAGGAAACCAAAACAATTAAAACCTTAACGTAATCTAGTTTTTATTAAAGCAAATACACAAACATTAGAACGACCAAGGATTATTAAAGGTACTTTAGTTTACAGAAATATTTCCCCTTTTTTACGCTTTTCATTGGTTAGTGATGACAGATGCAATGTTTGGCCAACAGAGGGGATTTATGCAAAAACATGAAAAGGATCAAAAATTAAAATTCGAGGTTTTGACCCGACAACCTTTGACCACCAGGTTAGGATTATGGGTTAAAGCAGGAATGGTTAAAAAGTGTTTCTGCCAGTTTTCTTCAGACAGTTGGTTTAAGTTTTGTCTTCCTCCTGTAAGAGTTTGCATGTGACGGTAACTGTATCCTTCATCGACGGCTCTGGGTGTTTCAGTTTGCACGGACAGGAAGCAACGTTTTGAGTTTCCTTCAGCTGATCTGTGACTACAGGCTCATGCACTGCACACGCAAACCAAACGTCTGTCTCGTGGTTTCCTTCTTTGTACAAACATTAAAGCAAAAGTCAGGTTGTCGTCAGGTAAAGTCTGATAAAATACATCAAAACAGGCGGAAATTCAAATGTCTCTTGTTTTCTATATTTCACTCCTCTGCTCATGTTCTCCTCCTCTCTTTGGGTTTTGCTACTTTTGCTATTTTGTTTGAGAATTTTCTATTTCCAACACTTTGATCAGAAATGTATCTTTGGATCTTAAAGCAGAACAAAAGTGCTTTAATTCTAAAGCACTTTTAACCAAAGTGCTTCACAAACAGGAAGTCAGCAACAAAATAAAAGAAAGGTCAAACGTTAAAAACACACGGATGATGAAACAGGCTAAGAAACAATAAAACAAGTTCAGAGGTTCAGGTGGAACTCAAACCAGACGAGTTAAAAGTCAGAACAGGAAGTGACTTTGTAGACTGGATTTAAAAGGCTCTGCAGAACCAGTATCAATGGAACCAGTATCAATGGGCAGAGTGGTCCAGAGTCTGGGGGGCTGCCACAGCAAAAGCCCAATCCCACCTGCATTTTAATTTTGCCCTCGCCTGCGCTAAAAGCATCCGACTGGAGGATCTCAGTGTTCTGTTAGGATTATAAAAATGCAAAGGTCCAGTAAGTAACTGGTGCAGAACCATTTAAAACTTTAAAAGTCTATAAAAGAATCTTAAAATCGATATGAAAAGGAGCAGGATGTGGACTGATGTGGTCCTGCCTGTTAAAAGACGCGCAGCAGCGTTCTGGACTAACTGCAGGCGATGGAGAGGCCGTGGTTCTGATCCAATGTATAAAGAGTTGCAGTGGTCCAGTCTGGTGCTGACGAAACCGTGGATGACAGTTTTGAGGTCTTTAAGAGGAATGTAAGATTTTGCTTTGACTATTTGACGTAACTGTTTTAAAAAAAAAAAACCTGAGAATATTTGTTTATCAAGTTTAAAAGAATGAGTCTCGACCACAGAGGAACATGAGGAGCATGAGGACTCAGTTTTAGCACGCCCAAAGTCCGGTTTTCAAATAGGAGAACTTCGGTCTTTTTATCGTTCAGGGTCAGACAGTTCTGATTGAACCAGTCTTTGACTTCATTTAGACGGTTAAAGAGGCTGCAGGGGGCAGAGACGTCAGATTTTAAAGGAAAAAATATTTGGATGTCGTCAGTGTAGCAGTGGAAATGAATGTTGTGCTTTCTAAATATTGATCTCAAAGGCAGCATAAGCAAAACAAAATAGGACCCAAAATGGACCCTTGAGGTACACCACAACAAAAAGGAGCCGAGAAAGAAGAATATTCCCCCATGAAAATGGAAAAGGATGTGTCAGCTAAATAAGATTTGAACCAACAACATGTTCAAGTCTTGATAAAAGGATGATCGACCGTATCAAAGGCTGCACGTATAAGCAAAACAAAATAGGACCCAAAATTGACCCTTGAGGTACACCACGACGAATAGGAGCAGAAGAAGAAGAATACATTCGTATGGAAATGGACCTGTCTGCTAAATAAGATTTGAACCACGGCGCTAAAACTGAGCCTTTAAGACCAACAACAGGTTTGAGTCTTGATAAAAGGATGATCGACCGCATCGAAGGCAGTGCGCATAAGCAAAACAAAGTAGGACCCAAAATTGACCCTTGAGGTACACCACAACAAAAAGGAGCCGAGAAAGAAGAATATTCCCCCATGAAAATGGAAAAGGATGTGTCAGCTAAATAAGATTTGAACCAACATGTTCAAGTCTTGATAAAAGGATGATCGACCGTATCAAAGGCTGCACGTATAAGCAAAACAAAATAGGACCCAAAATTGACCCTTGAGGTACACCACAACGAAAAAGAGCCGAGGAAGAAGAATTATTCCCCTACGGCAATGTAAAAGGACATGTCTGCTAAATAAGATTTGAACCAACATGTTCATGTCGTGATAAAGGGATGATCGACCGTATCAACAGCAGCCGAGGAGTTTCAGGATCAGTTTGCCACAAATCCTGTTCTGGTCTTTGTCACAGATTAATGACGAAGATAAACTGAACATGTAGAGGACAAGAAGCAGGATGTTTGAAACTGTTCAATAAATTCTGGTGTTTTCGTAGAGGACAGCAGCTTTGCACAGCAAGGCTGGTTCTTCCAGCTCGGATCAAGCCCCGAGTCTTTTCTAAAACTTGTTGTGTTTCGGTTCGATCAGTTTTTTCTCCGAGCAGCTTGTCGTCGTGACCTTTGACTCCGGGGCCACGTAGCATCAGACTGTGATGGAGGTCAGACTCGTCACTTTCCAAACATTGAGGCTGAACTGTGTTTTTACCGCCGCTGTAATCCGATGTCCTTTAAAATCTCTTTATGGATCTGGG